AATCAGAACAGAAACAGACTCATAAACAGAGAACTTTTTGTTGGTTGCCAGATGGGAGGGGCATTAGGAGGGATGGGCACAAAAGGTGAAGGGATTAAGAAATACAAATTGGTCCTGGCTGGCTTGGCTCAACTGTTAAGAGCATTGGCCCTTGGACCAAAGCATCATAGGTTTGATTCCAGTCAAGGGCACCTACCTCAGTTGCAGTTCTTCCCCGGCTCTGGTCAGGTCCTGTGGGAGGCAACCAGTTGATGTGTCCCTCTCACATCAATGTTTCTCTCTCTCTCCCTCTCCCTCCCTCCCACTTTATCTGAAGATAAATAGAAAAATATCCTCAAGTGAGGATTAAGAAAAAAAGAAGTACAAATTGATTGTTAGACTGATGAATATCAAAAAGAAGGAGGGGAGCGGGAAGAGATAAACCAAAGAACTTACATGCATAACCAATGGACACAGACAATAGTATGGGGAAGCCAGGAGGGGGGTGGGAGTGGGGAGGGAAAAGGTCAATGGGGTAAAGAGGTGGGGACATCTGGAATACTTTCAACAATAAAGATAAGTTTTAAAAAAAGACTATCAGCTGACTTTTCAACAAACTTTGCAGGCCAGAAGGGATTGGCAAGATATATTCAGATTGATGAAAAGCAGGGATCTACAACCAAGATTACTCTACCTAGCCAAGCTATCATTTAGAATCAAAGGATGGATAAAGAGTTTCCCAGGCAAGAAAAACCTAAAGGAGCTCATCACCACCAAACCAGTATTGTATGAAATGTTAACAGGTGTTCTTTAAAAAGGAGAAGAGGAAAAAAAAAGATTCAAAATATGAACAATAAAATGGCAATAAATACATATCTATCAGCAATTGAATCTAAAACATAAAACAAACAAACAGAATAGCAACAGACTCATAAATGGAGTACATTTTATCAGTTGCCTGATGGGAGGGGTGTTGGGAAACTGGGTGAAAAAGGTGAAGGTGAAGGAATTAAGTACAAATTGGTTGTTACAGAATAGTCATGGGGATATAAATTATAGCACATGGAATAGTCAATAGTGTTCTAATAATTATTTATGGTGTCAGATGGGTGTGAGACTTACCCAGATGATTAAGTTATATAATGTCTAATCACTGGGGTGTACACCTGAAACTAGTATAATATTGTGTGTCAATTGTAATTTAAAATGATTTTTTAAAAAAAGGTAAAAGTGTAATAAGATATAGATGGGGGCAGATCAGCAGGATCTTGTTGAGAGTTATTAAGAATTTGGACTTATCTCAGTGACCCTTTAAAAGAGTTTAAGACTCGCCCTGGCCGGTTTGGCTCAGCGGTTAGAGTGTCCACCTACGGTCAGGAGAGACCCCGGTTCAGTTCCCGCTAAAGGCATGTACCTCGGTTGCAGTTTGTCCCCGGCCCTGGTTGGTTGTGCGGGTGGCGACCACTTGATGTGTCCCTTTCACATCGATGTTTCTCTCTCTTTTGTTCCTCTCTCTCCCTCCCACTCTACCTGAACAAAAAATGGAAAAATGTCCTCGGGTGAGGATGATAAAAAAATAAAATAAAATAAAATAAAAAATAAAAGAGTTTAAGACTCAACAATAAGAAAATGAACAATAAGAAAATAAAATAAAATAAAAAATAAAAGAGTTTAAGACTCAACAATAAGAAAATGAATTATCACTAATTTAAAGTGAACAAGCCATCTTAACAAATATTTCACCATACAGATGGCAAATAAGCATATCAAAAGGTGTTCTGCATCATGTCATCAGGTAAATGCAAATTAAAACAATGAGATACCACAACACACCTATGAGAATGGCGAGAATCCAAAACACGGACAACACCGAAGGCTGGCAAGGATGTGGAGCAATAGGAACTCCACTCATTACTGATGGAATGCAAAATGGAGGTCACTTTTGAAGAGAGTTTGGTAGATTCTTATGAAACTAAACATAGTCTTTTTTATATATTTTTCATTTTTTAAACTGCCTTTTAGAGAGCGGAAGGGAGAATGAGAGAGAGAAAAATATCAATGTGAGAGAGAAACATTGATTGGTTGCCTCCTACATGCGCCCTGACTGGGGATCAAAACTGCAACATGGGTATGTGCCCTGAGCAGGAATCAAACCTGCCTCCTTTTGGTGTATGGGACAACACTCCAACCAACTGAGCCACACCAGCCGGGGTGAAAACTGAACATACTCTTACCATACTATTTAGCACTCATGTTCCTGGGTATGTTTATCAAAAGAGTTGAAAACCATGTCTACACAAAAACATGGAGACAAATATTTATAGTAATTGCCAAAACATGGATACAACCAAGATGTCTTTCAGTAGTGAATATCAGCAGGCTAGCTATCCAGACAATGGAATATTATTCAGCAATGAAAATAAAAGCTATCAAGCCATGAAAAGACATGAAGTAATATTACATGCATATTACTAAATAAGTTAGAGTCAATTTGAAAAGGTTACATACTGTGTGTTTCTAACTGTATGATATTCCAGAAAAGGCAACACTGGAGACAATAAAAAGGTCAGTGGTTCCCAGGGATTAGGGGGAGGGAGGGATGAATAGGTGGAGCACAGAGGATATTTAGAGTAGTGAAATTGCTCTGTATGACACTGTAATTGTGGACACATGTCACTACACATTTGTCCAAAGCCATAGAAAGTATGAGTGAACCCTAATGTAAACTATGGATTTGGGGTGATAACGATGTGTCAATGTAGGTTCATCAATTGTAACAAATGTACCACTCTGGAGTGGGACGTTGATAGTGGGGCGGTGGGAGGGAGTGGGACAGGGGGATACAGGAACTTTATACTTTCTGCTTAGTTTGGCTAAACCTAAAACTGCTCTAAAAAAAAGATCTGTTTTTTTTTTTAAGTTTTAGGAGGGAAATTCATGATCAATTTTATATTCTTTTTTTTTTTTAAATCCTCACCCAGGGATATTTTTCCATTTATCTTCAAACAGAGTGGGAGGGAGGGAGACAGAGAGAAACATCGACTGGAGAGGGACACATCGACTGGCCACCTCCAGCACGACCCTGACCAGGGTTGGGGCGAACTGCAACCAAGGTATGTGCCCTTGACCGGAACTGAACCCACGAGTCTTTGGTCTGCAGGCCATCGCTCTAACTGCTGAGCCAAACCGGCCAGGGCTTAATAGATCACTTTGGTGGTAGTGATTCTTGTGGATGGAGAAAAAGAACAAATATGGGTGTAGATGAACAGTTAACTGCAGCTGTCCAGGTGAGAGATGGTGCTAGTTTGGTCTCAGGTGGTGTCGAAAGAGTGTGTGTGTCCCCGGATAAATCAATGAACTGCTTACCTTTAGTTCCTCATATATTAAAAAAGAACGGGGGGAGGTATGGAGATTGGCCAAGGATCTTAATGATTTAGGGAGAAGCTATCATTGAATCACAAGAGGCAAACAGAATTAACTGAGAACTTGAGACAGCTCTCTTTTCTTTTTTTTTTTATCCTCACCCGAGAACATTTTTCCATTTTTTGTTCAGGTAGAGTGGGAGAAGAGAGAGAAAGAGAGGGAGAGAGAGAGAAACATCGATGTGAAAGGGACACATCGAGTGGATGCCACCCGCATGACCAACTAGGGCCGGGGACAAACTGCAACCGAGGTACGTGCCCTTAGTGGGAATCGAACCCGGGTCTCTCTGGACCGCAGGCCGATGCTCCAACCGCTGAGCCAAACCGGCCAGGGCTATCTTTTCTTTTTTTAATGGCAGGCCTGTATTAAACAAGAACAACATCAGGCAATTATGGTTTTTATGAGAGAACTTTTAATAAGTAATTTCCAGGGTACTCTTTAAATGTAATGATCCACTGCTTTAGTGATAATCCTAGTTGCAATGATAGCGACTAATAAATATGGTGATGTAATCAAATACCTGGAACGGACATTTCTAGAAACCAATAATAATTACTTTTAATTGGATCTTCTTTTGTTTATATTTGCAATTTTGAGTTTTATTTGGTAATCTCAATGTAATTTAACAAAGTTTTATAAATGTTGGGCAGAAATTATTATTCATTTATAATGTTCACAATACATTATACATTAAGATTTTTTTTTTCTTTATTGGTTTTAGAGAGAGAGGAAGGAAAAGGGAGAGAGAGACAGAAACATTGATGAGAGAGAACATCGATTGGCCACCTCCTGCATGACCCCCACTGGGGATCGGGCCCACAACCTGGGCATGTGCCCCGACTGGGAATCGAACAGGCAGCCTCCTGGTGCATGGGTCGACGCTCAACCACTGAGCCACAAGGGCCGGGCACATTAAGATATTCTTAATGTAATTGTTAATTACAGTAATAATTCTCTTTCATTCTTACTATCTCCTTCCTGTTTCTGTTTTCACTGAGTGAACAGAAGTAAACAATGATGGAAATTTGAGACACAGAAATGGTATCTCCTAAAGTCTTGGTTCCCTATCCCATTTCCTAATCTCCCAGGTAAGCTCTTCTAACAATATTAGCATAAAAGCCTGCTTGAAGGGTGTGGCCAAAAAATGATAGATGATTAGAGCTAAAGGCTCACTGGTCATCCAAGTCTTGACAAAGAATATGTTTGAGTTTAATAAAAGTACATTTGCAGAATGAATACACTATGATAAGACTTAATATGTAAATCTGGAACACTTTGTTAGAGTTGGTTAATATTTGCCTAAAGCACACACAAAAAAACCTCACTATGTAAGACAATATCTTTCATTATTAAAGAAAAAATTTTCTCATAATTGAGAGGATAATACATAATTATAATAAACATAAATCCATGCATTATTTTAAATACATTTTTATTGATTTTTTTTTTAAGAGAGAAAAATCGATATGAGAGAGAAACATTGATTGGCTGCCTCCTGCACGCCCCTACTGGGGATCGAGCCTGCAACCCAGGCATGTGCCCTGACCGGGAATCGAACAGGGACCTCTCAGTCCATGGGGTGACACTCAATCCACTGAGCCACAAAAGCCAGGCCCATGTATTATTTTAATGTTTCATGCTTTACGCAGAATTGAATATGTGTGATTTGTAAAAAGTTACTGTGGCTACAAAAAATATGACACAGGTCAGCACCTGGTATAACAATTGCTATCCCATGATATATGTGCCTAATTTCAATGTTATTTTAGTTCTCGATATTTCAGCAATTATATGCAGCTTTAATAGTCAAGCTATCACTTGAATGCTATTAAAGAATAATCATATCTGCTTGCACTAGGTTTATATCATTTCCCAAGGTAATTATTTCTGACTTTGAGGGAGATTACTGACCATTTATATGATCATTAAGAACTATTATTTGACTTATAAATCCGAATTTCATTTTTTGCACACTGAGGAAAAAGATTAACAATTTTATCCACATCAAGATGTTTGTTTTGAAGGATTGATTCCATCTCTTTGAATAGTTCTTTCTCCAGTTTCTTCATGTTGTCCAACATTGTTTTGGCTCTTTCCTGAACAATTAAAAAATAAAAATAAATAAACACACATGTCTGACCAAATTCCAACCAACTTCTACAGACAAAGTTTAATTCATTCTGGTTTCTACTTCTGGTTTGGTTCCTCTCCTCCTATTCTTTTTTATTTGTTTGTTTGTTTGTTTGTTTGTTTGTTTGTTTGAGAGAGAGAGGAAGGGAGGGAGGGAGAGATAAAAACATCGATGAGAGCCCTGGCCGGTTTGGCTCAGAGGTTGGAGCGTCGGCCTGCGGTACAGAGAGACCCGGGTTCGGTTCCCGCTAAGGGCATGTACCTCGGTTGCAGTTTGTCCCCGGCCCTGGTTGGTCATGCGGGTGGCAGCCACTCGATGTGTCCTTTCACATCGATGTTTCTCTCTCTCTCTCTTCCTCTCTCTCCCTCCCGTTCTATCTGAACAAAAAATGGAAAAATGTCCTCGGGGTGAGGATTAAAAAAAAAAAAAATAGATGAGAGAGAACATCAATTGGTCACCTCCTGCATGCCCCCCACTGGGGATCAGGCCCACAACCTGAGCATGTGCCCTGACCGGGAATCGAACCAGTGACCGCTTACTGCATGGGTCGACACTCAACCACTGAGCCACAGCGGCTGGGCCCCTCCTCCTTTTCTTTAGATACAAAAGGAATAAATAAAATTATTTTGGAAAAAATCATCACTCTAAGATTGAGTTAATTTATTAACCCCAAATTGTTAGTTATTTTTAGTAGAAAAGCAAGAATAATTATGTAGAATTAGTCTATAAACAAGAAACCTAAATAAATAACAGGGCAGTTGAAAATCTGATATTAATTATGTATGGGAATGCTGCTGAACTCTGAGGCTGAGATATTTTTTATTAATTTGGATCTTCTATATTTAAAAACAATATTATCAGATTAAACAAAGGAAACAGAACAGTAATGTTCAAGGGAAGGAGCATCGAAAAGGTAAGAAAGTGCCAGGCTGTTGTGGCTTGGAGGATTGAGCCATCGTCCCATGGACCGAGAAGTCCCGGACTGATTCCCTGTTGAACCCAACTCTTTGTCACGTCTACCCTCAAATTCTATTGTTTTTCTACTATTTTATGTTGTCAATATTTCATGAATAATTAAGAAAGGCCTAAAAGAGTAACAGCTTTTAAAGTTTTATTACTTAGAAAAATGTCAATCAGCAATTTAATTTAGTTGAATAAGTCTACAAAACTCACCTCCCAGAAACAGTATTGAGGGGAAAGGAAGCTGGCAACTCTAAGGAACTAACACCAGCGATTTGGGCAGTGGGGTGGCTGCTCAAGGAGGAGTGAGGGAGAATTCCTCCAGAGCAGACTCTCTTGAAATGTATCACTGAGAAACTGGAGAAAGGCAAGAAAAACTAGAGGACTCATCGTATTTCACAGTGCTGTGCTGAGGCTGGAGGCTGAACCACGCCCCAGGGGGTGGATGACACCTCTGGCCCAGTGGACTGGGCCCTAGTCAGCACACTGGACTCCTAGAACAAACCACTAGCCTCTCAGTCCATGCCACCAGGCTACAAAAAAAGTGTTTACACTGTAGGTCAGAAGTGAAAATAAACTGGGCCCAGCTAAAGCAAGAGTAGTGTCAAGAATTCATGCAAGCCCTGGCTGGTGTGGCTCAGCTGGTTGAGTGTTGTCCCACGCACCAAGAGGTCACCAGTTTGATTCCCAGGCAGGGCACATGCCTGGGTTGTCGGCTCAATCCCCGGTAGGGTTCATGCAGGAGGCAGCCAATCGATATTTATCTCTCACATCAATGTTTCTCCCTCTCCATTCCTTTCTCTCTAAAAAGTCAACGAAAACATTTAAAAAAGAAAAAAAAGAATTCATAGCAAATAAGAGGCCTGGACAGAGCTCTCTGCTTTAAGCATAAGCAAGATGGGGGTGGGGGAGGCATGGCAACTATGTAAACATACTACAAACAAAAGTAAATAAACAATTGCCCAGAGGAAAAGGCATTTAATTCATTTAATGTAGATAGAATGTAAATACATGTACCTTGATTAAGTAAGAGGAATTATAGGCAATAAAAATGAGGAATTGGTAGAGACAGGTGAGAAAATGTATAAAATGGCCAATCTTTTCCTTCATTGCAAGGAATCAGTTGATGGTTCTGTTACAAGCCTTTAGGTAGCCCATCTATTTCCTTCTAATCTTTTTTTTTTTTAATCTCTGAGGAAGAGAAAAGAGGGCAGAAGAGGTATGGATATTATAGAATTATATGTTTATCTATATCTATCTGCCCCCAAAAAATACATCTGCTTATTTCTGGGTGATGCATTAATCTTCTATAATGCTTCCATTTTAAAATAATAAGCATTTATTATTTTTTTTAAAAGCTCCAACTCAGCCCTGGCCGGTTTGGCTCAGCGGTTGGAGCATCGGCCTGCGGTACAGAGAGACCCGGGTTCGGTTCCCGCTAAGGGCACGTACCTCGGTTGCAGTTTGTCCCCGGCCCTGGTTGGTCGTGCGGGTGGCAGCCACTCGGTGTGTTCCTTTCACATCGATGTTTCTCTCTCTCTCTTTTCCTCTCTCTCCCTCCCGCTCTATCTGAACAAAAAATGGAAAAATGTCCTCGGGTGAGGATAAAAAATAAATAAATAAATAAATAAAAATAAAAGCTCCAACTCAGTCTTATTATTTTAAATTGATAAGGTCTTAAAGCACTTTCAATTAAAATTAAACTGAGACTGTATGCCTAAGAACATTATGTAAGAGGCCAGGTTAACTGCCCTTCAGTGGCTTTGTAATTTTTGATATGAGATACATACTAAGCAAGCTACTTAAACTCTCCATGTCTTAGATTCCTTATTGGTAATAGTATCTACCTCATGAAATATTTCATGTAATAGTATCATGGTGCTAGGTGTATAATAAGTGTTCAATAACAAGTAGCTATTGATATTATGTTTAATATACTATATATGTCTAAAAGATTCCCAACACATTCTTAACCATTATTTTTAACTAAAGATAAAAAATAATAGAGCTCTACCATAGTCTGAGCACCTGAACTATTTTTAAATCTATTTGTATATGAAGGAGGTAAAGGAAATTAAAATTCAAAATATGACCCTGGCCAATTTTTCTCAGTGGTTAGAGCATCAGCCTGTGGTCTGGAGAGACCTGGGTTCGGTTCCCACTAAGAGCATGTACCTCAGTTGTAGTTTGTCCTCTTTCCTGGTTGGGTCGTGCGGGAGGCAGCCACTCAATGTGTCCCTTTCACATCGATGTTTCTCTCTCTCTCTTCCTCTCTCTCCCTCCCACTCTCTCCCTCCCACTCTACCTGAACAAAAAATGGAAAAATGTCTTCGGGTGAGGATAACAACAACAACAAAAAACCCAAAATGGGTTGATTCACATTTTCAACTATTCTTTTTTTTTTTTTTTTTTATCCTCACCCTAGGATGTTTTTCCATTTTTTGTACAGATAGAATGGGAGGGAGAGAGAGGAAGGGAGAGAGAGTGAGAAACATCGACGTGAAGGGACACATCGAGTGGCTGCCACCTGCACGACCAACCAGGGCCGGGGACAAATTGCAACCGAGGTACGTGCCCTTAGCGGGAACTGAACCCGGGTCTCTCAGGACCACAGGCCGATGCTCTAACCACTGAGCAAAACTGGCCAGGGCTCAACTATTCTTAATGATAAAACATAGAATAGAATAGAACCATACCTCCTTATTATCTATTATTTCCAATGCTTGTTGATGCTCTTGGTAGAGTGGGTGTCTTCGGTCAGGCTTAATCTTAAAATGTGGCTTCTTTTTAACTGGATCTTCAAGTTCAAATGTAGGTGAACTGGTGTCCAATAGTTGTGAAATATTCGGCACAAATATGAAAGGCTTAAAAACAGATCTAGAAGAAAAATACTTTTATTAAATTGTCATGTAGTGATATAAAAATGTTCAACATTATTCTAAATTTTGTAAGGTTCCCGCTAGTTAGAAGTTTCTATTAATTTGTTATATACTAATGTGATCCTGTCATACCAGTTATAGCCATGCCTATCTTCCCCGCTATACTGGAATCTCCTTAGGGGCAGGGGATAACACTTTATTTAGCCTTGTGTTCTAATGAATTTGACAAAAGGCATGGCATATGAACAATGTCAAGTGAAATTATAGTTCATCAGACGATAAGAACAATTCTCTCTCTTTTTAATTCCTCACCTGAGGATATTTTTCTACTTGTTATCAGATAGAGTGGGAGGGAGGGAGAGAGAGAGACAGAGAGAAACATTAACGTCATAGAGTCACATCAACTGGTTGCCTCCAGCAAGACCGCACCAGGGGACAAACCACAACCAAGGTACATGCCCTTGACCGGAATCGAAACCGTGACTCATTGGTCTGCGGGCCAACACTCTAACTGCTGAGCCAAACCAGCCAGGGTGTAAGAACAATTCTCAGTGTTATAGATTAAGGATTAAGATTTTGGATTAAGCCCTGGCTGGTTTGGCTCATGGGTTAGAGTGTCAGCCCACAGACCTAAGAGCCTCGGGTTCAATTCCTGGTCAAGGGCATGCATCTGATTTGCAGGTTCGATCCACCACCCCGGTCAGGGTCCTGCAGGAGGCAACCAATTGATGTCTCTCACATCAGTGTTTGTTTCTCTCTCTTTCTCTCCCTCCCTCCCACTCTATCTGAACAAAAAATGGAAAAATGTCCTCAAGTGAGGATAAAAAAAAAAAAAGAAAATCAACAGCAGTATTGATAAGAGGTTTACAGGATTTTCTTGAAAAAAATGTTTAATGATATGAAAGAATATAACTGAAAGATAGCAAATATAAGATCATTCCTAACATATGTGCATTAAGTTTTGTGAGAGATACTAGGGACTTAAGTCAAGAGAGTCTATACAAATCCTACTAAACTTGAACTACAGATATTTTAAATTTTACATAGGTGTATTTTCTAGATATGAATGCATAAGCAACCATCTAAATCTGGCACACTATGTCATTTACTCTTTTTATTAACTCTGATTAATCATCTAATATTATAATACTGAAATCTGCATAAGAAAACCTAACTACTTTCTTTTCTTGACAATGTTAAATATACTTGGGGAAAAAGGATGTAGGGATGACTACATTATAAGAAACTATTAACACTTCTCCAACAAAAATGAGAATAGTGCCCTGGCCAGTTTGGCTTAGTGGTTAGAGTGTTGGCCTGCAGACCGAAGGGTCTAGGGTTTGATTCCCAGTCAAGGGCATGTACCTCAGTTGGAGGTTCAATCCCTGGCCCTGGTAGAGGTCGTTCGGGAGGCAACCAATAGATGTGCCTCTCTCATATCCTTTTTTTTCCCTCTCTCTCTCTCCTTCCCTTCCACTCTATCTAAAAATCAATGGAAAAATATCCTCAGGTGAGGATTAACAACCAAAAAAAAAAAAAAAATTAGGCCCAAGGTGGTTTGGCTCAGCAGTTAGAGCATCGGCCTGCGGACCAATAAATTGTGGGTTTAATCCAGTCAAGGGCACATACCTCGGTTGTGGTTCGTTCCAGCCCTGGTGGGTCATGTGACATGAAGGCGACCAGTCGATGGCTCTATGACATCGATGTTTCTCTCGGTCTCTCTCTCTCTCTCCCTCCTTCCCACTTTATCTAATGATAAGTAGAAAAATATCCTTGAGTGAGGAATAAAAAAAAAATTAGGACAGTTATGGCAATTATGCACATATGAAAATGGTGGATGAAAACTTGAACAAAAAATGCATCCAAATTTTTTTTTATTTGTGTAACAAAAATTTAACCTGACAAAATCATTACAGACTAAAGACTCTACCCTACTCCCAGACCCCTTGCTGGTTTATAGTATTTTGTGACTTTACCTCTCAGGATCAGGAGTCCCAGTAAAGAAGTGAATACAGGGAAGGTTGGAGTCTTGAGGTAAAATAGAAACCATGCTTGCAGTAGTCAGGAATTCTCCCTCCATATTAATGCCACTTGGTTTATCTCGAAGAATTTCCATCATTGTTTCAAAAGTTATGTTTCCTAGGGAAATGATTTTAAAACCATAAAGTATGCATATATTTGTAGGTTGATACCTTGCAAATATGAACTGCTTTCTCTACTGATAAAATATAAAATGAGATATTGGTCTAGGTATAAATTAAGAAATTGACTATAAACAAACCTTGTATTATAATTATGAAGTTAGACTCATTCCACTGTTGCAAGAAAGACATTTTTTAAAATATAAAATATACAGTCTCAAACCCATTATAGCAGGTAAAAACTATGTAACTGCCTTAAAAGAACACATCAATAATACAAAATAACATTCAATCTCACTGACCTTATAAAAATGTTTAAGGTGTATTTAGTTAGCAATGAATTGATGATATCAATATTATCTGAGTCTGTTCTGAAAACCAACTATTAAGAGAATATTGTGCTTAGTTTCCAATACTATTATTCAAGATGTTCTTTACAAAATAACAAATTATTTTTTCTGTAATAATTTCTGTGCCTGAAATTAATATTCTTATAGGAAAATGTGAATTGTAGTCTGAATAGGAATGGAGACATGTGCAAGACATCACTGGTAATGGAATTTGTATGTGCATAATTATGCTAGACTACAGATGTTTAAATGTCCATTGTATGTGATAAAAATACATAGTATTATATTTTTTCTTCTGCTTTAATATGTAACGTTTGATATTTTAAGGAGGATTTTTCTAAAAATATATATATTTTAGCCCTGGCCGGTTTGGCTCAGCGGTTGGAGCGTCGGCCTGCGGTACAGAGACCCAGGTTTGGTTCCCGCTTAGGGCACGTACCTCGGTTGCAGTTTGTCCCCGGCCCTGGTTGGTCATGCGGGTGGCAGCCACTCGATGTGTCCCTTCGCATCGATGTTTCTCTCTCTCTCTCTTCCTCTCTCTCCCTCCCGCTCTATCTGAACAAAAAATGTCCTCGGGTGAGGATTAAAAATAAAAAAATAAATAAAAATAAAAAAATAAAAAAAATAAAAATAAAAATATATATATTTTATCTCTTTAGCAAACACATGTCCATGGTTAAAAAAGATCCTCACAATTCCATATTTGGAAGGCATTAACACACACACACAAATTAAAAGCCTATCATACCTTCAGACAGCTCTGCTCCTTGACATACATATCCATAGTCCAAGATGCAGTTTGGGATCTAATTACATCATGAAAAGATGAATAATCTTAACCCTACACACAATGCAGTCTTCTAAAAGTAGCCAAAACATCATGTTCTCACATGTCATAATTCTCTTCTCTAAAATTCCTCATGAATCAAATTAGAACTCCTTCAAATGCAAGCTTACTACTAAGCTTAACTGAAATGACCTTTTCCTCTCCATCTATAGGCATTCCTGATCTTTCGTCTATATTGGTCCCAGCTCTGCCATTAGATTAAAAATTCTTTAAATACAAGAATGGAATTTTTCTCTGTTTACTTCTCATTAATTCAACAATATTTATTGAGCACCTCTTAATGCCAGAAACTGTTCTAGGCAATGAAGAGAAAGACAGATAAGCAGATAGACAGATACTGATAGATATAGATATAGATTTGCAGATTTGTGACTATAAAGTGAAAGTCCCCTGATCCAATTTCAATTGAGGTAACCAATTCTAAAAGAATCTTTCCTCAAGAGTTTTAGAACAGGTTTAAAAGCTTTCCTTTGAATAAATACAAGAAATTCTCCTTACCAGAAAAAAAATTGATACCAGAAGATAGCCACTTAAAGTAACACATTTAAAATAAAAATCAAAATTTCATGGTAAATACTGGAGGAAAAGAATGAAGTCTTTAAAATGAAACAAAAATATTACAAAAATAAGTTTGCATAAGCTTATAGTTAAAAAAATTTAGGTTAAAATTTTAGTATGTTAATTCATAGAACAAAGAAAGGATCAAATGTAATTTTCCCAACAAAATGGTAAGATAATATGACTTTATTATTTGACTATTGCAGCATGATCATAAAGATAATTTTTTTAAAGGCCAAAAGGGGGAGGGTATTGTAATACTATTTTTAAAATATATTTTGATTGATTTTTTTAGGGAGAAAGAGAGAGAAACATCGATGTGAGAGCAGATCACTGATAGCCTGCCTCCTGCATGTCCCCTACTAGGGATAGAGCCCAGCTGGATTCCTGGTCAGGGCACATGCCTGGGTTTTGGGCTCCAGCCCCAGTAGGGGGCGTGCAGAAGGCAGCCAATCCATGTTTCTCTCTCTCTCTCCCTTCCTCTCTCTCTAAAAAACCAATAAAAACATTTTTTTTTTAAAAAGAGACTGATCAACAAAAATGCTGACAGTAAAGTAGAAGAAAGGTAGTATTAAATAGGGAAAGATGTTTGAATGAGGACTAATTTTATAAATAGACAGTTTATTAATGATTATCTTTATGTTTAAGACTACTTTTTCTTCCCTACTCAACCCTTGTAACTTTGAGGCATCAGACTGAAAACTCAGATAAAATGGATATCCCTCCTTCCATTCATCACAGCTTTCTACAATCTTTGCTTCATTAACCAGCTATGTGAATAAAAAGCAGTCATTTTTTTAAGAAAGCACAACTCCCCAATGTTCTTATATAGCCAATTTTATATGTTTGTACAAAGTTTATATTTCTAAAAGTATAATTCTACTAGATTAAAATAGGGCACTGACATCATTACCTACCTGAAAACCCAAGAGAATAGATTTTAAAACTACAAAAACAATAGGGTATCGATAAGGTGTTCCATTAAGTAAATGAAAACACTCAACATTTTTCTCATAGATCAAAAACAACCAATTAGTAAGTTTAATTAGCAAAATATCCCATTCACATTACCAGCACACACACAAATATCTAGAGAAAAACTTCAAAGTCAATATGAAAATCTGTAATCTAAGCTCCTACCACAATAAACTAGAAAAAGAGCAAAATAAGCCCTAAGCAAGCCAGAGGAAGGAAATAAGAAACATAAAAGCACAAATCAATGAAATTTAAAGCAGAAATAGAGAAAAATCAATGAAACAAAAATCTGGTTCTTTGAAGAGATCAATAAAATTGACAAACCTCTAGAAGGACTAATAGAAAAAGAGAGAAGACACAAATTACAAAATTATCAATATCAGGAATAAAATAGGAGTATCATGACAGACCGTGCTGACGTTAAAAGCATAAGAGAATACTACAAACAACTCTATACGTACACATACACTGACAACCTTGAAAGAAAGGGACCAATTCTTTGAAAAGCACATGCTACCAAAACTCACTTAATATGAAACATAATTTAACTAGCCCAGTAACTTTTAAATAAATTGAATTTATAGTTTTACATTCCCAGGAAAGAAATCTCCAGGCCCAGGGGATTTCACTGAAGAAATTTATCAAACATTTAAGGAAGAATTAACTCCAATTCAGACAATCTCTTCCAAAAAATAGAGGGAAGTTCCTGACTCATTTTATGAGGCAAATATTACCCTAATACCAAAACCAAAAATGGTACAAACAAAACAAAGCAGTACAACAACAACAGACCTATATCTTTCGCTAATATAGATGCAAAACTCTCGATGAAATATTATCAATAGAACCCAGCAATATATACAAAAAGTATATACCATGACTAAGATGCAAGGTTGGTTCAATATTTGAAGATCAATGTAAACTAACATTTTTTTTTTTGGTATGCACCCCTAGCGGGAACCAAACCGGGGACTCTGGTCCGCTGGCTGACGCTCTAACCTCTGAGCAAAACTGGCCAGGGCTAAACTAACATATTAATAGAGGAAAGAAGAAAAAGAATCATATTAATTGAGGGAGTTCTGAAGATGGCGGCGCAGGTAAATGCAGTATCGCGTCCTCCCACAACCACATCAAAATTACAACAAAACTACAACACAACCATCATTCAGAACTGCCTGAAATCCAGCTGAATGGAAGTCCTACAACTACGGAATTAAAGCAGCAGCCACATCCAGACTGGTAGGAGGGGCAGGGGCAGAGGGGCTGGTCCTACACCCACGTGTGGCAGATAAAAATCAGGAGGACAGCTCAGCTGGGAAGGTCCTCCCTGAGGAGTGAGGGGTCCCCGTCCCACACCAGGCCCCCAGCTCAGGGTCTCAGTGCCAGGAAGAGAATCCCCATAACTTCTGGCTGGAAAACCAGCAGGAACTGAGGCTCAGGGAGGCTGCGGCTGCGGAAGCCCAGGCAGTTTCTCTTAAAGGGCCCGCGCACAGACTTACTCATACCCGCTCCCTCTGAGCTCCAAGGGAAGGCAGCCTGATGGGCACCAGAGAACAGGAAAGAATTGAGCTGTTTGGCCTCCGGATGAGGGCTGGAGGGGCAGCTTTCTCCTGAACAGACGTGCTGGTGGAGGCCATTTTTCCTTTGGTGAGCCCTTCCCCCACAGGGCAGGCAGACAGCCACCATATCTGGGATTCCAGCAACCTGGCTCACACTTTTGGCCCCGCCCTGGTGATTCCCTGAGGCCCCGCCCCACCCAACTTTTGGGCCCACCCAAGCTGTTTCCAAAGGCTTTACCATAGAATTGGCCTGTCTTGGATCCTGATTCAGAGTTTCCTAAAATCTCTCAAACAAGCAGCATCTGGTACCTGAGCCCACCAGTGCACCTGGCACTATCAGGCCAGTGGACACCCTGTGTCAACACAGACCAGTGCACTGTAGTAGAGCTGTCAAAGTGCCGGTTGCCGCAAACAGCAGGAGCCCAGCACCATCCCCCACAGTAGCAGCCCAATCAGAGTTGAGATATACCCCCAGAAACAGAGGCTGGAGAGCAGACATCCATCCCCAGGCAACATAAGCACAGACCAGCAGCAGAGAACTATCCCCCCACACACACACAAAAAAAGAACTACAACAAAGGCTAAGCAGGAGCTGAGCCCCACTGGCCAGCAGCACTCCCCAGCCACCAGTGGTGGGACCAGGGGCTCCACAGGGCCCTGTGCAACCTAGCGGCCCACGAGAGCGGTAAGGAGCCGGGGCTCGAGAGAA